GATTCAGGGGCACTGGACCGTTCTTGTCTTCGGAAGCCACTCAAGACGACTTGTGCTTGCTCCTGCTTAGACGGCTGTACTACACCGGAAAGTCAGGCTGCGTAAGAGTACAATACAATTACGCAGAGTGAGGCTCATTGTTCACAATAAGCCAGTCGTAAGCATAGCTTTCGGGCGTCCGAGAAAAGAGGTTTCAAGGCTTGCATGTAGTTTGTTATTAGGAGCCTTAATTAGGCCTCTAGAGACTTACTTAGGCTTCTGGAGACTTAAGGTTATACTTTTATACTGGAGACCTGAGGCTATAGGTCTTCTTTGCGGTTCAGGGTTAGGGGTTTAAAGGTCGTCTTTTGGCTCATTTAGGCCCTTGTTCTCAGAATCCTAAACCTCGAAAAAAGAGCTCTCTGCCGTGGATCTTGCTTTGAAGGAAAGGAGTTGACGGCCCATGAAAAGCATGTCGGGCAGTCCGAAGCAACCAGTGTAATATAGGGGCCTTAACGATTAGATTGGGGCTTTGGGGGATTTTATACTTTAGTCTTTAGTCATACTAGGGGCCAGAAGGGAATACTGTTTGTAATTACCTCGACCCCTATACTACCGCGTCGGCAGGAAATTGCCGGCGATGACACAATGGATTTCCAATTTGGTCAAGGTTCAAGCCGGTATATGTGATCATGAATCTTGGACGAGACTACTTGTTCCAAAAATGAAATTGAATCCTTGACCTCCTTGGGTTCCGTGCCAGCTGTTGGTAGGTCAGGAAGAATAAATGAGCGAAGGTGGTGCCGAAGTAGGCACCATCAAGACCTGATGCAACAATCTTCGAGAGATTCTAGGGTTTCAGGGATGAGCTTGATCCCAAATGACCTACCTGTTGAAGGACGCATACAAGGAAATCATATTAAGGAACTCTAATATGGAACGTTTATGAGGGTCCACGACTACAGGAAATCCCATAAAGTTGGAACCGGACTAAGGCCAAATAGTGCTGGGATTCGCTGTGCATTACTCTTAAAGGTTGAGGCTACAGTATTGGGTTTCCAACTTTTGGGCTTCTACCATAAAGAAAGAGAGGGCTGCTGGCTCAGAAGTTCAGGTTTTAGCCATGAGAAGCCAGGAGGATGAGGGTGGGATGTAGTGTTGGGGTTGAGGGTTGAAGGGTTTGGGGGTTCAGGGTTTAGGGCTTTAGGGTTTAGGGGTTTTGGGTTTGGGATTTAGGGTTTTAGGGTCTAGGAGTTCAGGGTCTAGGGCTTAGATTTGGGTCATTGTCCCTATGCTAAGCAGCAAGCAATTCGAGGAAAAGCGTCTGGGGCTGAAGGAGTCTAGGGTTTGGCTTTGGGGTGCACTGACAATGTCTTTTCTTCGGCTACTCCTCCACATTTCCGGCAGTACTCTACACCATTATACAATCAGCAGTGATACTGCGCCAGCTACTCCTCCTTCTACTCCTCCTCGCCACCTCCCTGTCACAGCAGCACTGAAGAAGGCGACGAGAAACACTGTACGTCGAAAGATGCACTGGATATCTATTGTGTTTCTTTCAACACAAATGCAGGCTGGACGCATGAACACCAGGATGAACCATGAAATAAACATCATGACGACTGATCAGAAGCTTTGGCTGTCTGTTTCTTGCAGAAATTTGGAAACAAGTAAGAAGGCTGCATGAGTGGAGTAGTCCCTACCGGACACGCAAACAAGACAACAAGAACAAGACTTGCCATAATGCTCTCAACTTTGACCCAAGCAAACTCTACTCGAATCACATAAGCATACCCCGAAACTGTAAACCTTCCATGGGAGACCCAGACCAATAGCTTCCAAGTTCCAAGACCCAAAGGGTCCTAGGTACCAGTATGGGGGACACTTGCCCATACCATAATAGTAATTCCCATTATAGAAACCCTACATTCTACCATATAGGTACTTAGGACCCTTTGGGAGAGTCTCCAGTGTAGATCTCGTGCTGTTTAACCCAGCTTTGATGCTCACGACCCCTTGCAGAACTCCCAAAACTCGAACTAGAAGCTCGTCCTCCAGGTGAGTTCGGGTTTTCGGGATATGAGAGCGTAAGCTTAGGGAGTCTAGATTGCAGTAGCATCATAGCAAGACATGCAACTTGATCACGACCGAATCAGATGGAAAAGTGCTCGTAGGAGCATTAGTTCTGATAGCTGCGATGATAGTAATCCTAAGCCCTAACCCCCTAAAACCTAAACTGATAGTATATGGGAGAATACTGGTAGTAATCGTCGTGGTCGTCCAAAATAATTACCTAGATCGCAAGATCTACAACTCCCAAAGTCCAAACCCGAACCTGGCCAAAGGCCCGAGAGCCTTTTCAAAAAGAAATCAGCGAAATACAATGCATCCTGGTTTGCACCCGCTATGTCGCTTATCTGTCTGCTGTCAAAAATGCCGAGTTCCGAACACTCAAGCTTCGAAGACTTCGGGAAGTAGATCTCGCGGCAATGCGGGCAGTACACCTGCGGCACTTCTTTCCTAAAGACTCTACGTATATCTTTTTCGGGTTTGGGGGTCTTCAGGCATGGAGCGTTAGGGATAGATCTTGCCATGACAGCTCAAACACAAGGGGTCGGGGGCTCCTTCGGTGCCCGGAAAATCTGGCAGGATTGAGCGTCTAGGCCACAGTGTAGGCTTTGAGGAGCTCATCGGAATCCTTGACTCTGAACCCAAGGCCCACAGACCGAAACACCCATCCCATCCGGAACAGCCAGTATATACCCTAAACCCTAAACCCCCTAAGCCTAAACCGCAAAGATGTGGCAACTGACTCCACAGAAGCACTGCCTCTACACCTGCAGCTGCTCACTCCAAGCCCTGAAAAGCCCTAAACCCCTAAACCCTAAGCCCAAGGCCACAACAGCCAAAATCCAACCCGGGGCTGGCCTTTGCGGCACTTTGGCGCAACATGTCCGAGGTGCCGATTGGCAGGACTGCCTGATTCATGGCTTCACCTTGGCAGCGGGCTTTGCAAACAAGTCGATTACAAAATCTGAAATCTACACGAACATGTATGTTTGTTTGTATATGTGTGTGTGTGTACGTATGCATGCATGGATGTGCGCATGTATGCATGTACCCATGTTTGCATCAGCGTGTATATGTAGCCAGGTATGCAGGTAGCTATAGGTGTAGTACACCTATGAATCCATGTATCGGTATCCGATGCATACATACATAAATACATGCATCGTGCGAGAGCGAGAGCGAGAGAGAGAGAGAGAGAGAGAGAGAGAGAGAGAGAGAGGGAGTATGACAGAGAGACAGAGATAGAGATAGAGAGTTGATTTGATTCAGGAATTAGGCTGCATGATCCTTGGGTCCTTGGATTGTCGCGAAAAATGACATTGTTGGGCTTGGGCAAATTTCGAAGCCTGAGTGATTTGCCTAAGGTTTCGGGTGTCCTATGGTCCTATAGAATAGATGCACATAGTAGGGAACCCAGAAAAGTAACTGGCTCCTTCACGCTCCGATATTCGGAGGGGGGTGTGCCAGTGAAGGGGGAGGATGGGGACCTGGGTGACTTCAGGATCCCTCATATAAGCTTGTACAGACCGCAGCTTCCTGTCGAATGAACCTATATAAGAGCAACCGAAACACAAGAGTGTAAACTTAGAGTCCCGACAGCCAACCAGCAAAGAGTTAGTGTGTAGAGTGCAGAGAGTCGAGTTTTGACGGGCTGATCGGTTTTGCTTTGGCGCCCTTGTGGATGGCTGGTGGGAAGTGGGACTTCGGGTGGAGGGTTCGCTAGGACTTTGCCCAAGAAGCTACGCCAAAACAGACCCTTACCCTGAACCCCTTATGTCGATGTACGTGAACTCACGAGGAGGCGACTTGCTGCTATGTTGATGGAACTTGACTGAAAGTTCTGTCTGTTTGGGAACCCCGAAACCTAAACTCTCAGGCTTTGGGAGTGAGGTTTGAGCAAGCACCATGGGCTGAACTTGAAGGCATGACTTGGTTTACTTAAAGGATTCTGGGACTTAGTAAGTGGGATTATAGGTAAGGTAACTACAGTATAATTGCTTATAGCCCCAACTAAGGTACTTATAACCCTACACTTACTAAGTCCCATGATCCTCCAAGTAGGGTTGAAGAGTTTGGGGTTTGGGGAAAACGCGAGGTTTGAGCTATAGGGCTTATGGGCACTTGAGGGGAACTTTCCAGCTTCGCACCGGAGTTGCAGAAGTCCACAAGAAGGCACACATGCAAAGCTGCAATTGAGGTTTTTTGTTCAGAGGTTTTACAATAGAAGAAACCTTATCATAGGGCGCAAATGTTGATTCTTGGAACACCTCTCGTTTCACACTGACAATGCTAAAACGAGCTGCAACAAAGCAGAGCAGGCAGGACTCTTGGGAGTTGAGTGTGGGACACATGTCTAGACTCTTAGTGGTAGTAACTACTACAATCATGTTTACCTATATCCTCAATCCGTAAATCTGGCACTGCGGCGTCTTTTTCGTTCCCTCAGCGAAGATATTCGAAGCCACAACTCTGAGACCTACGCCAGGAAACACGCCCGCAGTCAGAAAGGCGCAGCCGCATGCAAGACCCGAAGCCGTGGACCCTCAACACTAAATGTACAACCCCAACAGAGCTAACCAACACAGCTTTGAAAAGGGGGTATGACCCTATCAAACAGGTACAGGTACCTTTTGGTAGGGTACCTTGGTTACTCAAGGTACACACCAAAAGCGGCTACCCCAAACGTAAACCCCACCCTGAACCCAAAACCCAAACCCTACACCCAACAAGAAATCCACCAAACTCAAATACCGGGCCCGCTAACTGCAATCTAGAGGGCACCAGAAAATACAGAGGATTTTTTATGATCAAGAAATGTATGAAATTTCTACAACCCTTGAGTTATATAAGAGGCCTTGCTTAAGATTGTTCTTCTGTGTATGTAATTATACTATGCAACCCTTAATTTGAGAGGCCTTGCAGGCTCTGGGAAGCACAGAAGCCGAGCTTTCTCAGGGCATTGGCAAAAGCCACAGTGCCCGACGCCACTGCGAGCCCTTTTTCAGTGCCTTGAGAGTCGAAGAACAGGTTGACAGGTCTGGAACGACCTGGCGAGGAATTTGCTGCATGCGGGTTTAGGGTTTAGGGTTCAGAGTTTAGGGTTTAGGGTTCAGACTTTAGGCATCAAAATAGCCCAAAAACCTTACAATAGTATGGTCTTCAGGCCAAAAAGCTTTAAATTAGGAGTCCTTAGATGCCCAGGGTAAGTGAGCATGAGGCTGCACCAGATCTAGGATGCCCAGTAACCTAGTAATAAGACGGGCTCTCCTTTTGGTACTAACTTTATAAGGAACCTAGGACTACAAAAACGGAATAGGGGTATTGCATCCTAGAGATGTACCACGCTGGCGAGTCAAGCCGAAAACCCTGCTCTGAATAACCCTAAGGGTCATTCTGTACCCAAATAGCATATGAGCAGTTGTCAAAATTAGGGTCCTTTTTTGGAGTCCTTAATATACTACGGCACCCAATATTTAGGGTATCCAAAAAGGTACCTCCTAAATTTTGACAACTACCCAAGTAGTATATACTTTGGGCCCAATGGTACCTATAATGGGGAGTAGTTCAAGGGAACATGGACCATTAGGGTAAGCCAGCATGAAACCCTTACCAACCCTACTACTACAAGCTAATTACTGACGTCCAAGTTAAGCACCTGCGTCCCTTCACCCCCAAAGGAGGGCTGCAAGGGCTTGCTTATTAAGGGTTTAACAACCCAGTTAGAATTAAGAGTGAGATGTGGAAGATTGAATTTTCGGGTGTTATCAACTGTTCAGAGTGAAGCACACAAAGTTCCTCAATCTGCTGCCTGATGAGTCTGCATGGAGACGAAGAGGTAAAGCGCTGCTGGCCACTGGCCAACCTTGCCCAAACTCTGAGACCAAACCCTAGGGCAAAAGGTATGCAAGTCTTGGGGTAGCGGGCTTCTTATGTGTTTGCGGTGGTTATAGTCCATGAAAAATTTCGTACATGGAACTTCAAACGGCAAAAGGGCTTCGAATCGACCACCTACGTGGCTACCCTGGTAGGGTAAGAGGGTACCCAGCAATACCAGGAGTTGTTGTGCTTCTTCTGTTTGGTGATGGGGGGGTTAGGGTTTAGGGTTTTGGGTTTAGGGTTTAGGGTCCCAGCATTACAGGGGCGCATGCTCGAAGAGCGATGCACCCCTCAACCCCCTGAAGAGCGGAAGCCCTGAAACCATTCTTAAACCCCACCTCAACCCTAAATAACCTACCTTTTTAGGGCTCCTTATTATGACTTCCTTATATGAGTCCTTAAACAGGTAGGTTATTTGGGGCTAAGGCGAAGCCCGAAGCCTAAACCCCAAAATCCTAAAGCCCTGAAACCAACCGCCTTGCCTTTTCACAGGAGGCGATCGCTGCTCCGTAGGTCACAAGGTCCGGGCCAAGCTCCGCCTGAACCGTAAAATCGTAAACCCCTAATTCAGTAACCTGATTAAGAAAGCTTGTTTTTTGTGGTTCTTTGGATGCTTCCCAATACTTTCGGGGGCCAGGGTTTCTAAATCAGGTTCCTACATTGCATTGACACATCTGACTTTAAGGCCTTGGGTTTAGGGATTTAGGGGTGTAGGGTCGTCTTCTCAGTGTCGGAGCCAGCGAAAACCGAGGACGCCATTCACTGTTACCTGGGTTGCCAGTGGCAGGAAGTCCACTTTCTTTCCAGTTGCCTCTGCTGGGCACCTTCGCTCCAAATCCAATACTCAAGGAGACTGACCTTTGTGCCTCAGCTTAGCTGTGCGTACGATGTCGCTCTCTTCTGGTTAACGATGCCTATGACCCCTTTAGCTTGCAAGATGTAACCAGAAACAATCACTACAGCTCAGGTCGAGCCAGGAACCATAACTCCAAGCCTAAAGCCTCACCCCAAACCTTCAACCCCAAATGCTGAACCCCAAACCCAAACTAATCCCAACCCGAAACCCTAAACCCTCCAACCCCACAGCCCCGAAAGCCCTAAACCCTAAACCTTAAAACCCTAAACCGTAAGCCCTAAGCCCTGAAACCCTAGAGCCCTAGAAACCCAAAGAGTCTGCCTCCTCCAAAGGGCCGAGGAGTGCGCATGCAACTTGCCATTCTGCCGCCTCTTCGTGTGAAAGCAGGGCAGTTCGATTTACCTAGAGTAGCCAACGTACCTGGAAAGAAGGTATCTGTAGCAGTTGAATAGGGTAATATCCCTTCATTTGCTTACTCTAGGTAGGGCTTAGGCAGGCTTTTGGGTTGAGAGAGGGCAGGTTTCGAATAGGTGTAGGGACTGGGTAGGGTGTATGGTTAGAACAAGGCTTGGGCTTGAATGATATGTACATATGTATACATATATATGTAAATGAGGGATCCTGCGTATAAGAGTTTGGCATCTTCTGTTTGGGTGAGCTTCGGAGGCGCGGGGGCCTGCCGAAAAAAAGTTCTTCATGGTCGTAAGCTTCTACTATCAGGAGCCACATGGGCAACAAGGTATCGAAGATTACACACACATGAATGGCATTAGCGGTGCTATCGTTGAGGTGAGGGAAGGCCGATGGCGATGATTCATCATTACTGTGGAGGACACTGTCCTGTTACATGCGCTTCTGGTGTAAAGGAGAGGGTTTAGGATTTAGTAAGGGCTCTGGCATGTTCATTATCACGGTCATGCTGTAGCCGCCCAATGCAATGGTGACAGCAAACCCAGCATGAGAGCCCGACACGGCCTTGGCGCATGAACTGATGGTGGCACCGTAGCTGCAAATGTCGGGACGAAGCCTTAGTAGTGCCCTTGTCCCCCTCGAACAGGCCTCAAAGCTTGAAACTTAAGCCACAGCTAAAAGACCATTCAGCTATCTGATGCATACGTTGCTATCCTATAGTTAGATGACGGGATATGAAAATGCCTGCTATACATTGGCATGCCGTCAACGGTGCCATGAACCCCGAAACCCTGGACCTTGAGACCCTCGAACCCTGTAGCCCTAAACCTTTACATCCCGAAACCGAACCACAAGTAATGTCCAAGGCACTGGTACCTTGGCATGGCAGCAAACCAATGTAGAGCCTGCTCCCAGCAGCCTCTGCTTGTTCGGGATTAAGCTTTTATTGTCAAAATTATGTCCCCATTTTGAGTACCCTAAACAATATAGGTGCCGTAATATAATAGGGACCCCAAAAGGGAGCCTAATTTTGACAACCACCCAAATCTTTACTCCCCGAGGTGTTGGGGCGACGGGCTGTCGGGATTAAGGTTCAGGGTCTCTTGGCCCCTTCATAACATACTATAATCTACAATAATATAATATACCATAATATACCATAATATACCAGAATATACCAGAATATACCATAATATACTATAACATACTATAATATACCACTGTAGTCTCGAGGCCGTCAGGGTGCGGGGCGGTAGTGTTTCGGGCTTAGGTCCTGCGGGGTTTCCAGCTCCTATGGAGGAAAGTTGTTGGGCTAGGGGGGGGGGTGTTTTTTGTTGAGGGAGAGGGCTTGGGCTTGTACGCTAAACCCCGAACCCTAAACTGTAGAAGGAACCGGGCCGAGATCTCAGGGCAGCGGGCGGAGTGAACTCTGGTTGACTTGGGCGTGTGTGGACAGACGGTTCAAGTTGCAATGCTAGCTCATTACACCTAATATCCGAAGAGTCATTCCCCAGCCGTGAACTCTAAGGGTTCTGAATTATAACGAACCGTTCGACCTTAGGAACTGGACATGTCGATGCCGCCTAGACTTTCAAAGGCGTTCTCGCCGGATCGCAGATTGGGGGTGAGGATGGTTTAAGGTTTAGCCAATCACCTGTCTTTGGATGCGCCTTCTTCCACCGGAAGCATGATATCGAACAATAACCCAGCCTTCTTCCTAGCATCATGTTCTGTCACCGAAGAAGAACAGTTCACAATTAAGCGTGCTAGAATACACAGCACCTCCCCGGTCGGTTGAGGCTATCGGGCTGCGGGTGTTGCGTGTTGCGGTGTAAGATTTCGGACAGGGGGGCCAGGGCTCTTTTGGGCAAGGGTTTAGGGTGTTTCCAGCGTAAACGATTCAAATCCGAACAGAGACAGTCGAAAATTGAGAACTCGATCTGCTACTGCAAAAGCTCAGGGTTTCGGGCTCATGGGCTGGATGCGTGTAGGAGGCCGTCCCTATCGCAGGAGCTGATGGCAGCATTGAGACCTCGGCTAAGCATGGACAGATAGCCCCTCCTCTCTAAAAGCCCAAACCCTTAGCCCTACAGTAAACCACAGAAAGTTGGAAACCGGAATAAGGGGGGGGGGGTCGGCAAAAAAAAAAAAAAAAAAACACAAAGAAAAAACAAAAAAATTTTTTTTTGTTGCCTCCCTCCCCCCCCCCCCCCTCCAGGACCCTCCGGCCCCTCCTCATCCGCGCGCGCCCACCTAGGACGGCCTCCCGGACCCCTCTCCCCTGCGATGTCAGGCCCTGCGATGCATGGGTAGACCGGAACATACTTCGTATTTTGTGTATGGTTGTCACCGTCGTCAGATACTTGACGACACAAACATGGACTATGTATGTACAGGCATATATACATGTATATATATATATATACATGTATGTGTATGTATGAATGTCTATATACAATGAGGTATACGTATATGTATGTATATATATATATATATATATATATTTGTATTTATATTTTTATATATGTATATATTTATATATTTATATATTTATATATTTATATATTTATATATTTATATATTTATATATTTATATATTTATATATTTATATATCTTTATGTTTATATTTATTCATTTATGTGTGTGTATTGGTGTACATGCGAAAATACGTGAGTAAGACATGTGTAGTCTATTTCCTAGATGTACGTACGTACATAGGCATGTGCATGTGTACATATAGGTACAGATATAGACAAAACCCAATAACGAAAAAACGTATGTTGTTGCACGACCTCAATACGGAATGTTGGGCTGATGCGAGCGACTGGAATCGGGCATCAGAGACCCCGTACAGCAGGTGACACAACAAGTACAAACGATATAGTAACTATAGTAATTATTCATAAGCTCATAAACCTGAAAATCTGAAAGCTGATGCTACATGGTATGGTATACCTATTTCAATCGATCATGGTGGGTACATGCGTGCGAATGGCGCCGAATATCTGAGACCCTCAAGAGATATGAGATATGGGACCCACAGAGGCAAGGAGACCCAAGACCTCCAAAAGATAGACTGGTTCCTAAACACCCCAACATGACATGTGGGGAAAGCCCTACGCAAGGAGGATTGGATGGCAAACCCCACTCTTGGAAGATGTGGCTCAGTTCCCCCAACCTACAACGTTCAATAGGGTATGGTTTTGATGCAGAACGTTAACGCTGCGGATGGGTGCCGTCCTTTATCGAACCCAAAATCAACCTTGGCAACTCCAATGGCTTGAAAGGAATAGTCGGTAAGGAACCGGTTCCCAAAAATCGGCTCCCAAAGACTCAAATCCCTGACGTTGAACACTGTAACGGGAGATATTTATCGTTGCAAGAAAATAAAATTACCAGCAAGGGCTTGGTGCGCGGCAAGGCAGCACTGAGAACCAAACCCTAAGAAAGGTGACGGACTCCCAAACCCGACACAGTCGGCAAAATTGTGTCGCAGACCAACCGCCACAGGAGACGATGAGCGGCAAACCACGTGTTCCCAGAAAACGCAAACAACAAACTAGTAACAGACGATGGGTGGCAGGTGCGAACCCCGAATCTTTAAAAGAATATAACCAGGTAGGTGGCCAACCATATTTACAAATCCTCGCAGGGGTGACAGGACCCCGACCAGGGGAATGAATCATGGATGACAATAATCGAAAGATCCGCAAGGTATGGTAAGAGATTGCTCAACGGTGCTACTGGGACTGGAAATATAAATCCAAGTTCAAGTAAGGGATGCTGGGTCGCAAGTATGCTCTTAAACGAGACGACAGTTTTCTAAAGCTGCCGAGATCGCCTAGCAGGCTATTGGGGGCTTTTGGAACTTGGTTACCGACTTTGCAGATCATGGCTTGCTTTGTTATCTTGGGGCTTGAAGATTGCGAGGTAGCATACCCTTTCACAAGATTTTGTGTTATGTCTGGAACTTGGGGGTCTCGTGAAGATGGTTGATGAATTTTTTTGTTTCATGGTTTGGAGTTTGGCATTCCTCAGATATTGGGTTTAAGTTGTACGGTTTGGGTATGTTTGAAAAGTTTTGGAGTTGAAGGTTTCTCACCCATCATTCTTCGCATGGGTTGCTTTGAAGACGCAAACTCGTTTGCCCTCTTTGTAGAGCGCTTATGGGGTCTGCAAGGCCTGACAACCATAACATTATGTTGACACTTCGGGTTGTCGAGATGCCATTATCATTAGGATTTGAGCTTCTTTATCAATCAGTCATCAGTGTCAAAAATCTGAAAGCCAGTTAGCTTTTTTAGCTTTTCTTCTGCTACCGGCCTTGTTTAAGGACTCAGGTTCTGGGTCTGCCACGCAGCGGTTTTCATCGGAATTTGGGATATTTGGGAAGAAGCTTTCATGTTTGTATCCGGGGAGTGCGACCCATACGGTGTTGGGTCTGCATTTGAGCCAGCCCGGCTAAAATTTGGGTTTCTCAATGGCTGGTCCCCGTCTCCATGTTTGGTATTTGACTCAGATCATCTCTTTGAGATCTTCAACAAGTCCCCCTAAGTTTCTTGGGAACTAGTAACTAGTCACCACCTTTGGGATATGTGCTGTCCGAACCTCTCACTCCTGTTAGGGATGGCTTGTGGGAGCAATCTTCCAAACCACTTACTTCTTCTGTGGTCGAGGTTTTGCGAGTACCTGCTTTTGCTAGCCCGTTCATGTCTTGTAGAGTTTGGGATGTGCTACCCATCATCGCATTATAAAGTTACGGCAGGATCCAACACCTGTCATTTGTGTAGTCGTGAACCTAGCGCGATTATTGTGGTGTCGGCCTCTTTCACCTTCTTGGTCTTGGGTTCCCACCTTTCACGTACATTGAGTTTTGGATTTCTGCACAAACGCGTTGGACGAGAAGTGCACTGCTTTATCCAACTGATTTTGCCACCTACTCTGTTCTATAGTGCCAGGGTTTGGATTCCTTTGGCGGTCCCGTGACTTCCAGCAGGATTCAGATCTTGAGACTTCATGCCAGTCTTTAAAGATACGAAGAAACAGCAGCTTTGCTTGTAAAACACGGGCCCGTATTCCGTGACACTCTCAAAGGTTTAGGGTCTATAGGGTTAACAATCAAACACGCTACCGGCACAGAGGAAAACGTACCAAAATGCAGATATCCGCCTATGTGGGCCAATGACGGCTGCAACAAAAATAGCAGCGGGGAACAAAATTCGAAATGCAACGCAGGTCCCAGTCCGGTGAAGTCCAAAGACCCTGGTGGTACCTGAAGACTCACTGATGTCTTACAGGGGGTCATACTACCCATAGGCCCCAAAGTAGTTCCTTTTTGGGATTACCTTATAGGATTCTATATACGAACCCCCAAAAGGAACTACTTTGGGGCCTTAGGGTAGTTCATAAGGATTTTAACTGGTCTTAATAGAGGTTTGGAGATTAGGTTTAGCCAATGCATGCGGAAGTACGTCCACTCCGACCGCACACCGCAAGATGCACACCTTAAACTTAATGCGGGTAGTTCTGTAAATCAGGGTCCCTTTTCGACCCAGCAGGAGCCGGCACCGTGCTAAAGGACCGCAAAGCGGGATCCTAATTTAGAGAACTACCCATGTGCAGGACAAGGCTAAATGGGAGTTTCCGAAAATAGGGGGACCCTGATATAGTACTTTAAATAGTAGGATCCTTATTATAAGGACCCCTAAATCTGGCACCCCCAATTTTCGGAAACTCCGAAACAGAGAAGGGACACTCGGACTGTAGCTTGAAGATTGTTGAGAAGAGCTCATGCGCACTCACCACCCGAACTTCAGGGTTTAGGGTTTACCCATAGGCTCCATAGTAGTTCCTTTTTGGGATTACCTTATAGGATTCTATATATGAAGCCCAAAAAGGAACTACTTTGGAGCCTTAGGGTAGGGACCTGAAACCCCTAAACCCTACTCCCCTAAACCCTACTCCCCTAAACCCTGAACCCAGAAACCGGTAAAATCCCTAAACCCTGCCCTAAATGCAGACTTAGCATGGAAGCCTCAGAACAAAGTGATGATTGATGATGTTTGATGGATCCCGGACCGTGGGATCAAGACTCTTGCTTTACAAGTGCCTGCGCATGAAGCTCTAACTTCTGCAACCCGGTTTAGGGTTTTAGGGTTTAGGGTTTAGTAATCAGCCCACTCAAAGCTGAACCAGAAGGCCGTTCTGTAAACCCCGCACAGCAAAGCCCTCAGTCCAGATTCCCCCGTGCCAAGTAACAAGCAGAGTCGGGGCGGAGTCCCTCCACACTCAACTGTGCCAGGAGGTGCCTCTGGGTTAACGATGTTTAGGGGTTAGGATTTCGGTTTCTGGGTCAAGGGTTTAGGATCCAGGGCTTAGTTAAGGTCTAATCTGTTCCCCCTAATATTAAACCGCTCCCCCCCCCCTCCCTAATATAAAAACTGGATTTCGGATGTTTAGTTTTTATATTAGGGGGGGTTTCGGTTCGGTGCATCCACGTACCCGGACTCCCAGCTGCTAGCTATCCTAAGCCTGGAGCCCTACTAAAGCCCTAAGCCCTAAGCCTCCAGCCCTAGACCCTAAAGCCCTGAGCCTTAAACTTTAAGCCCTAAAGCCCCAAGCCCTAACGCTTTAGCCCTGAGCCCTAAACCCTTAAACCTAAAGCTCTGGTGTCTTTAGTACAGGTGTAATCTTTGGCTCTATAAAATCCTGAGCCCTAAAGCTTTAGCCCCTTAAACCCTAAAGCTCTGGTGTCTTTAGTACTACTGTAGTCTTCCTTCAATTAAAACACATACAGATCTGCCACCCCCCCTAATGTTGCCCCCTTTAAATTGAATGCGGGGCCCGAACCCGCGAAATTCCAGGGGCCGGCAGTTTTTATATTAGGGGTGGGTTGAATGTTCAGGGGAAGCGATTATGGAGGTAGGGTGTAAGTGTCTCAGCAATGGATCCTGTAAACCTATGCTGGAGTTACGCGCCAGAGCTTAAAAAGTGACAAAGCCCCCAGTCCTGAAGCCACACACCAAAAATCTCTCCAAGTAAAAACTCAAGTGGGTCGTTGTCAAAATTAGGGTCCCTTTTTGGGTACCCTAACTATTAGGTGCCGTACTATATTAGGGACCCAAAAAGGAACCATAATTTTGACAACCACCCAAGTAGCCAGCCGCAGGGACGACATTACCCTTAACAGCAAGCCACTCTAACGACATCCTGCGCCTACTGGTGCTTGCACCGGGTGCCTAACAGCTGGGGTTCACTGGAAAAGAGCCACAACAAACTACATACCCCATGCTCAGTAGCACTAAAATTCACGAAACGCTAAACCCAATCAACACGGCATAAGATCTAGGCATGAGCAAGGCTTAGAAAGGCTTAGAAACTTAGGCTTTAGGAAATAGAAAGTTCTGAATATGGCACATTAATAAACAACCAAAGAGAGGCTGTAGTCATGTCCGAAGTCATGTCCGAAAGCAGAGTCCTGACATCATGAAGATCCTCAACATGGGTGTTTCCGAAAATCGGGGACCTTATTTTGTACCCTAAATAGCAAGATTCTAATTATAAGGACCCCCAAACAAGGTACCCCGAATTTTCGGAGGCCTCCACGTAGTGTTTAACTGCAGGGTATGGGGCTCTTAGGATTTATGGGATTACAGCTGGACGTTGACTGATCCAGAAGATTCTTCACTCACAATGGGGTTTAGGATTTAGGGTGTAGACATTTAGAGGGTTTAGGGTTTGAGGGTTATTAGGTTTCAGGGGTTTAGGGTTTATAGGGTTAGGTCACACAAATAGAAATGGAGATTTGGAGAATAGTTGGCTACAGACATATTCAGTCTATGGCCCTAACCTGCAAAACATGCCTTCAGCCTTCTACAAAATGGTCCTTCAGCCGTCCGACCCAAAAGCCTTAAACAGCATAGGGTTGAGGCTTTGGCCCTACGGGTTTAGAGGTTCAGGGTTGGGGTGTACGGGTTGAAGCGTTAGTCAAAGCCAAAGTCCTGAGACCTACTTGGATGGGCAGGGGGCTTAGTAAGTAGGTTATAAGTAGAGTTATAAGTACCCTAAGTGGAGTTACCCCAATTATAAGCCTACTTATAACCTACTTACTAAGTCCCCTGCCCTTCCAAGTATGCTGTGGGAACTTGATGACTGATTCGCGAACTTCGCTCGGAAGCTTCAGGCCATGCAGCTTGAAACACAAACACCTAAGCGTACACTTAAAAGCGTACATGTATGTATGTATGTATGTATGTATGTATGTATATATATATATATATATATATATATATATATATAATATGCACATACGCAGCTGATAAGAGGCCTCAATGACTGGAGGGTTCTTGGGGTAGTATTACGACTTACTCAGGCTTCTTTGTCACATCCGACCCTGCCGAATTCAATTCCTCAACCCTAAACCCCAAAACCCTAAACCCCAAACTCGAACCCTAAATCCTAAACCTAAACCCTAAATAGTGAACCCTAAACCGTAAAGTTTGCGCGCATCCCGGCTGCTGCGCTTGGCGCCAGCGGCCCCCACGAGCGCACGCCACGATGGCCACGCTGTAACCTCGAACCACGATTACGGGGTTCTTATTAAGGAATTTACGGCAAAGGGTGTCGGTCCCCAACCCTATAATAAAGCCCACGCCTTCAGCTATGCTGTTTGGGACATCTTAAAAGACTGTCTCACCCAAAGGGTCCTAAGTACTTATATGGTAGAATGTACGTTTTCTTATGATGGGAATTGCCAATTATGATTTGCTCAAAGAGTATCTTGGAAGCTTTAGGTTATTTGAGTTACTATGGTTTAGGGATCAGTTGTAAATAATAGAGTTTCCTCCTTATGGTAGCTTAAATTACACCCTTTATCAAGAACCCAGTTCAGGGCAGAGTTTGTGGGGTTTGGGCTTATGGGCTGTGGTTCAGGGTTAGGGTACCAGAAGACAAGCAGGACATAAGACATGACACTAGCGACATGTGCACATGTGTTGGACCAGTGCGTACATGGAGATATGGGCAAGGACTGAACTCATGACGCATGAAGGAGGCGTCTTGTTGATACTGTGCTGCATGGTGTGCTAAAGCTATGACATGCTAGAAGGAACGTGAGATACGCTATGAAGCAGTCTTGCTTCTAAGTCTGAATATCATATGGCGTACTACCCATCGAATGTTGTACTATCATACCATCCTGTGCGAAACAAACAGATCCAACCATACAGCCAGACACACAGACTGATAACCATGCACGCATAGGTAAACACATACACATACGGTACATTACATTACATTACACTACATTACACATTACAATACATTACATTACATTCGTTACATTACACTACATTACATTGTCATTACATACATGAGCGGTTATCAAAACCTCTTTTCAAATCGTTGACGCTAAAACCCTTCCTCGTTTAGGGTGCGCGCAGCTTCCGCGGAGCCAACTGTCCCTTACGCGCGGGCGCTTGAGTCAGCTCTTCAGCTTTAAGCCTTCCGCGCGCCCTTCCGCTTTTCAGGTCTTTGCGCAGGACTGAAACCCAAGCTTGCAGTTGTCCATGTGGTTGGAGGCCGGCTCATTCTGTTGCCGAACCTGCCCCAAGTTTCGAAGCAGAGTTGCTGTGTGTTGAGTGTCGGCAGTGACGGGTCCAACAGATCCGTAGGAACGGCGGACTCGCTATGCGAGTGCATGCAAAAGCTGGCTCACGTCTGTGGCTGTTTCGCAATGTGGCACCATGGGCTCATGTTGCTAAGGACTGTCACACAAAAGGGATCGGGGATAGATGGAAGTTGGGGGGCGTCCCTTCCGCGCGCCTTCCGCGCACCTTCCGCGCGCCTTGCGCGCGGAGCCCAATCTAAAACTGATTTAAGCGGGTTTCGGATCTGTGAATAAGAATAAGACTAAGGATAAGGATAAGGGTAAGGATATGGATAAGGATAAGGATCAGAATAATAAGGCTAAGGATAAGGACAAGGATAAGGATAAGGGTAATACGGTAAGGATAAGGATAAGGAATAAGACTAAGGATAAGGATAAGGATAAGGATAACGATAAGGGTAAGGATAAGGATAATAAACAGGATAAGAATAAGGGTAAGGATAAGGCGAAGGGAGAATAAGACTAACGATAAGCCTTTATAAGACTTCAAGATACCCTTCCGCGCACCCCTTCCGCACATCCGTTTTGAAGCAACCGGTGCGCAAGCCTTCCGCGCATGCGACTGTTGCTTACGCGCGCTTGAGCGCCCATTCGTTAATGCCGGCCCTAGTCTGGCTAGCTCTTCGATGGTTTAGCTCTCCGCTCACATGCCGATCGTAGGGTTGCCGGGGACTGGCGCTATCCGGGCTTTATACAAGCGGTTGGCTCTGTTGCAACGAAGCCGCTGATTAAATTCTGGTGCACGCGATCATTGGCCATCGCCTTCGTGAAGCAAGGATGCCGGGATAATGAAACCAATTAAACCCTGATATAGGGGCCTTGACAATTAGAATAGGGATTGGGGCTTATATATATATATATATATATATATATATATATTTATTTATATTTGTATATATATAATTGTGTGTGTATATATATATATATATACACTTATTTGTTATAAGGAGCCCCCAAAATAGTATTGGCTATTATTTAGGCCCCCATATTACAAACAACCCGCAACAGCTTGAGGTTTGAGGTGATCGGAGCTCAGGACTTAAGGTATCAGGGGCTGTGTGAGGCTCGAGTGCTTCTTGGCTGACGGACTTTTTTCCGGCTTCCTAGTTGTGCGGTTCAGGGTTTACACGAGCCCCAGAAATCTGCCTCACCATCTCAAAGGGTAGAAGGAGGGACCCTTAAGAAGGACCCCTAGCTATATACCCTTAATATAGCCGTTATATACCCACTATATAGCCCATTATAGGGACCCAGGGGTCCCCATTAAGGGTCCCTCCTTTTTTCCCCCTTTGACCATCATCATGAGCAACTCTGAGGCCCTATGAGTCGAGGTCTGTGGGTGCTTCAGATACCCAGTAGCCTCGTAATCTACTATCTGCTTAAGAACCCCCCAAGAAATAAACAAATATATTCCTTATGGGGGTAATATAGGGATTATTATTTTTATCTTTTGGGGGTTTCTTAAGCAAATAGTAGTAATGCTGCTGCTGATGCTACCCCTACTCCTGCTCCTACTGCTGATGGACAAAATCCTGCATGACCCTAAGGACTCTAAACTATGGGAACTATGGTATATTCCCTATAAAAGGTAATGCAGGGTTTTGTCCATCAACAGTACTACTCATGCTGCAAACACTACGTATACTTACAAGTCCTGACACGGCAAGCACCGAGACCTCCCTCCGCCAGCGACTCGTACAAGTGCTTGAGAACCAGGAACACCGGTGATCTCGTGCCAACTAAACCAGGACACTGGCTACACAGCTGAGCCTGGAAGAGATGCAAGCCTATTTGCCATTGCGAAGCCCGTTCGCAGGCACTGATGGCAGTGCTGCAGCTGACCTTGGAAAATACACTGCTCCACACCCGAAATCCAAAGCACTCTCAGACTGGAAAACCCATCATGCAGGTTGGTTGACAGTCGCATGTGTATACTTGGAAGGGCAGGACACTTAGTAAGTAGCTTATAAGTAGAGTTATAAGTACCCTAAATGGAGTTACCCCAATTGTGACCCTACTTATAACCTACTTACTAAGTCCCCTGCCCCTCCAAGTAGGCTTGCGGTGTCATCTGTAGCCTGCGCACTCTCAACATACCTGCACCAACATTCCGTGTTTACGATCCCGTCGCACAACGGAACTACAATTACCACGGAGATATATGGCTAGTTCTCTAGATTAGGGTCCCTTTTAGAGCCCTTTCAAAAAAGGGTGCCGCACGATTTGATTTTAGGGAGCCAAAATACACCAAGCAAACCCCAGCCGAGCGACGACATCCTGTCGGACTCTTGTCTCTGCCATGCCAACGAGTAGCCTAGGATCGACAACCTACTCATGTAGGAACCTGATTGAGAAACCTTGGGCCTTCCTAATATATAGGGGGTTATAGGGGCAAGGTTTCTTAATCAGGTTCCTACGTTAAACCCTTAACCCCAAAACCTAAACCCCAAAATGACAGGAACCTTCCCAAATCTCCACAGCCACGCCAGAAAAAAAAAAAGCTTCCGTGTGCCAGACTTTTAGTAACAGGGTGTCGTTAGCATGCGCTAAAGGGTACTGAAGGGCCTGGTATGAGCTGAGTACACACTATTTTCATGTACCGACTGAGGGTTCTGAGGGAGACATACGACGATTTGAAATTCCTGTGTCCCGCACGGCCATGCGTCGGGGTCATTTCGTTCTTTCGTTAAGGCCTCCCCACGCAGTGCCAACAAGATTCGGTTCGCACTACCAAGCAACCCCAAACCCTAAACCGAGGTGGGGCTTTTAATGCCTTTGAAGAATATTAGTAAATAAGATCCTCTTAAGTCCAATAATAAGGGAAAATATAAAATGTCCCAAAGCCCTACCTAGTAAACTACCAAGCAACCCTAAGGGCATCGAATAAACCCTTCCCGCAAGTAGGGGAGGGCGGGCTTGTCTTCTCAGGCAACCTATCCCTAAGACTCCAAGTATACAATTACTACCTACAGTACTTTGGGTTATTTGAAGTCTTAGGGTATGGGTCACCAGATTTCTGCGTGATTCATGAGTGGCACTGTCCCCTTATGGTCTGGTCCATCAATATTTACTCTGCGGTTGGTCCAAACCACTATGCGAATTGTCAGAGATCCTATATATATAATATATATATATATATATATATATATATGTATATCCATTCTTGAAGCCCGAAAGCATAAAACACAGAGCACTCAATTTGAGGGAAGCCTTAACGCAACCCCAAACGGCCCCAATTCCTGGCTCTCAAACGGACGAACTCGCAATGTAGAGTTTGACTGATAGGGCGTGAGATTACGGGGCTGTTGAGTACACCATACGGAAGAACTGAACCACTCCTGCAAGTGTCAGTCGTATCAATAGCGAGCTCCAAAAAACTAACAAATCATACGACGCATAACAATTCTGTAAAATTTCCGCCCAGGCCCTATTCGAGGCCCTATTGTAATCATTCAACCTCCCATAATACTACTGGGAGGGTTGGGGGACTTAGTAAGCAGTTATGTTATGGACTTATGAGTATCATAACCCCAAGACGCCTTCTAGGGTACCTATAACTCTACTTATTAGCTACCCTCCAAGTAGTCTTGGCCGTGGAGAGGCTGCAACGCCCGTTGCCAGGCCGCCGCAGCTCCACAGGCAGACAGCGCAGTGCTAAAAGTGACCTTCTGCGGCTTGGGTTTAAGGCTTTAAGGTTCTGGTGTTTGGAGTTCGGGTGTGAGGCTTTCCAGCGCTTGACATCGGTTCCATGCGCCTAAATGGGGCGTACGGGGGCAAGGGAGTCAAGGTAACCTCATGGGATTCTCTGGATACAAGTCCCCTAGTTGGGGATATGGTCGGCTACACTTACAACACATCTTTGCTTGCCTGGACCTGCCCTTCATTTACCATCACGCCTGCTAGTGGGTCTGGGTGTAGTGCTTGGTATTGGGATCCCAAACCCTAAACCAGGTGCTATGGGAGCTGTGCTACGTCTGCTCTGACTGGCATGTCTTAAGAAGATCAAGATACACTTGATATCATATCCCATCCAGAAAGCCGTGCCTCCGCAGAACAATGGTAGTCATGGCAGAAACCCAACCAGACCAGGTAAGACTGACTAGATAAGATAGGATAGAAACAATGCAGCGAGTGGCCATGTTAGAAATTGCGAGAACAATCTGCACCCTGAACTTCTGACCCCCGCACCCCGCTCCTTCACTAAGGCTGTAAAAAGGCTAGAGGTCGTTTGTATGACTTAGGTCAAGACCATACCTGAAGCAGGATATGACAGAAAAGCAGGAGCTGGTTGGAGCTACAGTTAGTTGTCAAGACTTACAAAACACCGGCTACTGGTGTGTACCGGGTTTGGCTTTAGGCTTCGGGCTTTAAACTTCTTGTCAAGGGACGTCGAGGCTAAGAAAACCAGAACTTTCAAGCTTCTAGGCCATCCATGTAAATTCCCTTTTCCGGCTGACCAGCTGTAACCAGCTCACATCAGGACCATAGGAAGGCAGGAAAGAAGGTAGGAAGGCAAGCAACCAAAAGAAGCCGCACTGCGATTACGGGTTAAAGTCGTGATTCGGATATGTCTGGAGTAACCAAGGTACCTTTAACAAAAAGATATGGCACTAAACAATTGGTACGTTTACTTTTTGTGAGGGTACTTTGGTTATACTCTAGGCAAATCCAAAGGCTGCCACCCATCATTTGGCTTCCAAGCGGCAGCGTTTGCCAGGATGGTCATGGAGGGCATGTCCGCAAACTGCAGCGAAGCACAGATGTCCCAGTAGGGTTCACCCGTAGGCCCCATGGTAGTTCCTTTTTGGGGTTCATATTCAGGATTACATAAGACAATCCCAAAAAAGGAACTACTATGGGGCCTATGGGTACGGTTCAGGATACAGATGGCACAACATTTCCGATCAGGCGCAAAGCGCACTGTAAACAAAGCGACATCGAACACACAGGATGGAATTTCGACACTGGCTTCAGGGTCCAGCAAGCAGGCGAAAATCCACAGCTTCGAATGTCGAAAAGCCGCAACGGCATTCGGCGTGATTTTGCGTGCGCCATACGAATCATCTCAACATAGAAAAGGGTCCCGCAATATAGCAAAGGCACGACAATTCTTGTGCGATCTGGAAGAATTTGGTCTTGCAAACGCTTTGCGCCCAGAGCCAACACCAAAACTTTGAACTTATAAATGCCCTACAAGCCCTACTTCAAACCAGAAACCTTCAACCCAACACATTTCCCCACAGACGTGGAACAACGGAGTCAAAAAAACAAACCCTAAGCCCCGCAATCCGAATTTCCAGTCTTAAAATCGTAAGTCCTGAGTCCCAAAACCTCAACCCCCCCCCCAAATCCTAAATCCTCAAACGATAAGCCCATTACTAAATATTGAGCACAACAAGTTTGGTTCCTTAAACCCTATGAAAGCCGAAAGAAGACACAGTCGAGGCACCAGTCGAAGTGCAGCGCCCCATGCAGAAGCACTGGCACAAGCGGCAATCGCAGCACCTCAGTTTAGGGCTTATAGCCACAAGGGTCCCTGTCTCCCGGTAGTATATGTGATATATATATATATATGTGTGTGATATGCTTTGGCCCGAAGATACCTAATTACTTCAGGCCCAGGTAAAATAACTTCTTGGGCACATGGACCTTTAAGGTAGGCTATAGGCTCCCCTAAATCTCAAGGCGCTGAGCCGTAATAAAGAACTACGGGTCCCAAACCTTGAGCCACAAAGCCCCAAAGCTCCAACCTCACCCCTCTTCTTCCACAACCGGGCCGCCAAAAGTTCAAACTTTCTAAGATAGAGCTAATATACAAGGCTAAGAAGCTTAAAGTTCTCCCATTCGCGATCTCAGCCGCTAAGTTTGGAACCTGATTAAGGAACCTTGAGTCTTTGTTAGAGTTCTTTACATTACGAGGGTTTGTAAATCAGGTTCCTGCATTGTATCCAAAACTCCAGGGTCGGTGAAGCCCTACTTGGAAGGGCAGGGGGCTTAGTAGGGGCTCTTAATAAGGGCTCCTTAAAGGGATCTATAGGGTTCCTTAAAGGGATCTATGGGGTTTAGGGTTTAGGGTCTACTTGGAGGGGCAGGGGACTTGGTATGTAGGTTATAAGTAGGGTTATAAGTACCCTAAATGGAGTTACCCCAATTATAACCCTCCTTATAACCTACTTACTAAGTCCCCTGCCCTTCCAAGTAGAACCGAAAACCCTATACCCAACCAAAAAAAGGGAGCAACAACTAAACTTACCTTCGGTTGGTAAGGAATGGAAGACTGGTAGTAATAGTAGTTATAATTGTACCCCCATTCCTCCATTCCCTAGTAACCAAAGGTAAGTAAAGCCCTAAAACAAAAAAGCTACTGAAATCCCTGCAGCACAACAACCCCCCGGCCCCCTGTTCGTGTCCCCCGCTCCCTCACTCCACTCTGCCCGCCAAAGAACACACAGACAAACACATCAAACACCACAAACAAGCCTCAACCCTAAACTCCTAAACCCTCAAACCCTCAACGGCCCTAAACCCTCAAACCCTCAAACCCTAAACCCTCAAACCCCTAAACCCTCAAACCCTAAATCCCTCCCTAAACCCTCAAACCCTCAAACCCTAAATCCCTAAGTCCCTCCCTAAACCCTCAAACCCTAAACCCTAAATCCCTCCCTAAACCCTCAAACCCTAAACCCTAAATCCCTCCCTAAACCCTCAAACCCTAGAGCTCCGACCCCCGAGCCACGGTAGGAGCCCCAAGACAAGCCTCTGAAGGGAAAGGCCACTGGCTTTTAGGGTTTCTCAAAGGGGAAAAGGAGGGACCCTTTAAAGGGATCTATAGGGATTCTATAAGGGTATAGGGTTTAGGGTATAGGGTTTCGGGTTTGGGGTTAGTCAAAGGGGAAGAACCTCCAAGCTAGGGTTTACCAGATTGAAGCGATTCCAGACCAAAACCCCGGGTCCTAGTGGGGTTGTATCAAAGGGGAAAAGGAGGGACCCTGAATGGGCACCCCTACCCTATAATGGGCTATATAATGGGTATATAATAGCTATATTAAGGGTATATACCTAGGGGTCTTTATTAAGGGTCCCTGCTTTTGCCCGTGGAGTTTAGTCAGGCAGTAGGTTTCAAAACCACAGTAAGCCCTAAACCCTACTCAAATCCCACACTCTAAACCTGCTTTGCTGCCCCCAAAAACCCTAAACCCTTTCTGCACCTTTCTGGGAAAGGTGCTGCTCGGGAGTAATGGCAGAACGGCACTAGGGGGCCAAGGCGCTGCAGCTTCGGACGTCGGCGCCCAAGTCTGTGAAGAGGCGCAATGCAAAGGGCCACTGGCCACCTTCGGCTAGTAGGATGCGGGCTTCTAAGACGGTTTGGGCTCTGAGGGAGGATTCCAAAGGGGCTCTAGAAGTTTGTAGACTGGCCCTTTCTCTGCATGGTAGGGTGTAGGGTTTCAGGTATCGGGTTATGGGTAACCTAGACCCCAAAACCTTCTGTTACGAAACCCCACCATAAGCCCCTAAAATAATGCCATGGTTCAGGGACCAAGGGGCTCCTATGAAGATGACCTCGGGGCTACCCTAATTTTCAAACCTCATTCGAAACCCTCAACCCCTAAGCCCCTATAAGCCCTAAACCCCTAAACCCTACACCTCTAAATGCCAATACAAGAAGCCCGACCTTCCAAACCCTAATACCCAACCTCCATACCCTACCTATAGTCTCCATTGTGGTTCCTTTTTTGGGTTCCCTTTCAGGATCCTTAAAATAAAATTGGTTCAACCCAAAAAAAGGAACTACAATGGAGACTATAGGTAGACCCCTAAGGCCCTCTAAGCCCGAAACCCCTAACCCCTACCTTAACCCTGAATAACCTACCTTTTTAGGGCTCCTTATTATGATTTCTTTATATAAGTCCTTAAAAATGTAGGTTCTTCGGGGTTAAGGTAAACCCTAAAATTCTGAGCCCGATAAACCCTGAATGAATTAGCAGTTTCCGAAAATAGGGGACCCTAAGATAGTACCCTAAAAAGGTAGGATCCTTAAGGACCCCAAAATAAGGTACCCCGGCATTTTCGGAACCTCCCATTTAAGAGGATGTTTGGGAGCCCGCGCCACGTCCGCAGGCGCTGATAAGCGGAGCCTGGGCTCTTGATGCCGGAGGTGATTCAGAGCTTGGGCATTGATTTAGGGCTTGTAGCGTGTAGGGCTTGTAGGATTTAGGGCTTGGGGTTTAGGGCTTATAGGGTTTAGGGATAGGGGTAAGTTATAGAGTTTGGGCATTGGGTTTCGGGCTTATAGGGTTTAGGGATAGACACCGGCTGCCAGGACTCATACGTTAAAGCTAGTGGGCCCGAAGACCACACTATGTAGAGCTTTTGTGCTATTTTGAGTATGTTGAGTAAAGCCAATACAGGTACCGTGTTGACAATATGACGACTAGACATGCCGGAGTCAACTGTCATGCTTTTTTCAAAGTAAGCTATAACAAGTAACCCCAAGGGTCCAAGTACCTAGTCAATAATCATATACTCTCCAAAATCCTAACCTACATAACTACTATCCTAAAACCGAGTACCTAATTATTGGGTCCTTTGGACCCTTTGGGTTCTTCAAAGTAAGCTATACCAAGTAATAAGCATATCATTCACTAGGATACTCAGTAACCTAAGAATAAAAAGGCCTCTCTTTTTGGTATTGGGTAACTTTATAAGGAACCTAGGACTACAAAAAGGGAATAAGGGTACTACTGGGCATCCTAGAATATCCCTTAATTATGGAATATTCCTTAAATTATAGTAGGATCCCTAATATGATTTAAGGAAGATTCCTTAATTAAGGGATATTGGAGTCTCTGGGCTTCAAGCAAGCCAAGAGCGTAAGGATCAGATGGGGGCCTTAACAATTAGAATAGGGTGTTGGGGCCCATTATAGTACCATAATTACAATAAGGAGCCCCCGAAATAGTATAGGTAACTATTCAGGCCCTTACATTCTGCCACCTCAAAGGGAGTTCCTGCATGCTTCTTGACTAGGAGCGAGGATGCCGGCATCGACAGTAACAGCGGCTTCGCGGAGTTCTGTAAAGAGCCGCAGCGCCCGAGGCCACTGCGATGTCCTTGCGACACCGCGACCGTCTATCCAAGTGCCTAAACCCCTATAGACCCCTAAACCCTAAACCCCTAACCCCTACACCCGAGGCGTGTTGAAGAATGCTGAACGGGTTTCGGGTTTAGGGCGATCAACAACTGAACCCAGGATTTCGGGGGGCGAAGAACCCGGGCAGGCCACTAACTACTCCGTGGCTACGGAACATGACTTAAGTTATGTTACGGATCAATCTAAGGTGTCAGAATACTCGTCGTGTAAAAGGTAATTATGGGGCTCTCTGGGCCCAGAGACTCCAATATCTCTTAACTAAGGAATATTCCTTAAATCCTTTTAGGGATCCTACTATAATTTAAGGTATATTCCTTAATGAAGGGATATTGGAGTCTCTGGGGGGGTAGCGGAAAGAAGCTTTGAGTTGCTGACTCCCATGGCTCTGCGTTTCAATGTTTTGGCGTTCGCTTACCCCTAGACTCTCTAAACCCTAAACATCCCTAAACCGCAAACTTAACCACAAATCCATTAAACAAATCTCTATACCCTAAACATCCATAAACGCAAATCCATAAAATTCCAAAGCCTGTGCAGTGCTGTGTCGAGGCCTGGGACTATAGGGGCCTTAACCCAACCCACAACATAATGGAACATATGCAGACATAGTAGCAGATGAACAAAGATTAAGAAGCAATTGAATAAGTTACCCAGACGCTCCATAGTAGTTCCTTTTTGGGATTACCTTATAGGATTCTATATATGAAGCTCAAGAAGGAACTACTTTGGTGCCTTAGGGTAAGGATAGAGTTACAAATTGCAATCCAGCTCGATATCAACCCCGCAGTCGCCAATGCTTCGACTTGGCGATTGCGCTAGCAACCAACATGAAGCCAAGTAGCTATATGGGCATTTCCGAAAATTAGGGGTCCTTATGTGGGGGACCTTATAGTAAGGGTCCTACTATTTAGGGTACTATTTTAGGGTCCCCTATTTTCGGAAACTCCCATATGGTAACCCAAGAAGCACCCGTAACCCCCGAGGTCCAAACCCGAAGAGGTTTTGGGCTTAGGGTTTGGCGAACAAGTTGAATCAGAGGAACTTCTCGCAAACGCTGATGGCAATGCTGTAGCTGTACTGGTCCTTGGCAAGCTCAAAAAACCTGCTTGTCGCGTATCATGGGGAACTAAAGGTTAACCTTTTTGGCTATACAGGGATTATATAGGGACTGTACAGTAATTACTCCAATCCCTAAACCCTAAACCGCTACTACCCAAAAAAGGTCAAAGGTTACCTACTCTACTGCTAGGAAAGCTGAAGCCTGAAGGTTGAAGAATAAGGCGGAAAGAGCCTTGCAGCAACTTGAGACGTCCTCTTCCCAAATCCCCAGTAGATCCCCTAAACAAAAGGCTTCCTGTTCAGTTTAAGAGGGATCAACAGACACAAGAAAAGACAGGTAGTTCCTGAAAGGATGCCTTATAGTCTGGTCTCCCGGCCAGAGAGGCTTGCAATGCGTTGCCGGCTTGTTTCGGGTTGTTAGGGCTTGGGTGGTTTCAAGGTTTTCTGTGTTTGGGTTTGGTGGGGGGTTAGGGTTAAAAAATCCCCAAAACCCTAAACCCTGAACCCTAAACCCGCGCTTAGGTGGTTGGGGCTCAGAGGTCCGTGGCTGTTGGGGACGGCATACATTGTCAAAGCCAGCTGTGGAAGGGGATCTATAGGGCTCCTTAAAGGGATCTATAGGGTTCCTTAAAAAAACCTTTAGGGCTCCTTAAAGGGATCTATAAAGCTCCTTAAAGGGATCTATGGGGTTTAGGGTTTAGGGCTTACTTCGAGGATCATGGGACTTAGTAAGTAGCCTTATAAATACTTTAAATGGGGTTCTACGTAGTTCTAAGTGTACTAAGTAGCCCCAATTACTAAGTCCCACGATGCTTTAACTAGGCGAATTTTTGCGGATGTGGGACTATCTTCGAGGCTTGGGACTGAACACTTGCTGCTTCAAGACCGTGCACGCTGTATTTCAGCAGAACCTTACTGCAATGCCTTGTGACAGACCAACCCGAAACCCTAGTAATTGGGGAGTTCCTTCAAGGGGTCCCTTTAAGGGATCTACAGGGGAACTATAAGGGTTTAGCGTTTGGGGTCTAATTACTTAAAGGATCAAACCTGACACACCATATCGAGCCATACAGAGGAACAACCCAAAACCGGACCACAAAGCAACCGAAAAGTCAAAAGCCGTCAATAAAGGGATTTAAAATAATTGAAATGTTGCGGGATTCTCAATAGGTTTCGGGGGTAGTATAGTTCTGCGAACGGAATATACCTCAAATTGCTTGGGGATGCTCAAATAGGATTTGGGCGAGTGGTTCAGGGCTTAGGGTGTTACAAGGGTTCCATTTCGGGAACCTAGCGGGGTACGATGCGGATTTAGTATGGGGACTTTCTAGACTGGTGCTACTAGGAGTTGTTGGGGTCGCGCGGGTGCCCAGGGAGGGGAGTGAACGATGAAAACAGGGTTTTGCGTTATAGTATCCTAGAAGTGAAGTATAGGATTAGAGTAAGGAACCCTAAGGAATAGTAGTAAACAAGCAAATTGTTGTGTATAGTATCCTAGTATCCTAAGCCAATCAGCATGGAATCCCAAACCCCTAAAACCGAACCCTAAACCCTTTAAATCCCTAAGCCCCCAAAACCCTAAACCCCAAAACATGTGTTTAGGGCACTGGGCTTGTTCGGCTTTAGGGTACTTCAGGGCCTTAATAATTTGAATATGGTTTTTCGGTTTAGTAAAGTATACATGTACAAGGAAGACTAGCGGAATAATGTTGGTAATTAGTCAGGCCCCTAAATTTACACACTTGCAGGGTATAGTTATCAGGTACAGGCTGCATCACGAGGTTGATCTTGTGCCTAACACCTAACACAGAAGGCTCAAGACCAGACTTCATCTGATGATCGTTGCTGAGCGGCCGGTGCGACTTGGGCCCAATCCATGCCACGGAGCAGCCTCATACTGGCTTTAACAAAACCATAAATGCATTTTTCGCACAACTATGTAGTAGTAGTAGTAGTAGTAGTAGTAGTAGTAGTAGTAGTAGTAGTAGTAGTAGTAGTAGTAGTAGTAGTAGTGGTAGTAGTGGTAGTAGTGGTAGTCGTAGTAGTAGTGGTAGTAGTAACCATAAAGGAATTCCAAGAACTCGAACATGCGGTGGCTCGAGGGATCAAACTTCTGTTGGTTTGTCTTTGATACGCGACAGAGGGAACAAGATCCCGACAGTGCCCGAAGCCTCTTGGTCGTTAGGGTTTATGGGCCCAGAATCTGGATGACGTGAAGGCTTAGACCTGTGTTTATGTCTGCGCCTAGCAACCACCTCAGGCCCAGATACGTCAACATCTCTTGGTTGAGGAATATTCCTAAATCGCATTGGGGATCCTACTATAAATTAAGGCATATTCCTTAATTAAGGGAAAATGGAGTCTCTCGCCCTCTAGATCCCTAGGAACCCTTTTATAGAGATCCCTTTCAAGGGACCCTTGGGCCCTATAGGAGTCTCTGCGGGAGAAAGCTCCCATGACTGTTCTCTGAATCCCTGTCCCACTTAAGGACGAAATGAACCCTAAAAGGGTTTAAGGTTCATATACAATATAGGGATTCATAGTATATGGGGATATGGACCCTACTTTTAAGGGTCATATGGTCCTTCAGGTTGACTCCAAAAACCATGCTCTGCAAGGCTTAAAGCGCAAAACTCTATACTAAACCCTATGAACCCTGAACCCGGAACCCTAAAGCCTAAACCCTACAATGTCAAGCTTGCAAGGCTTAGGGGCCTAGAGGCTTGAGGGTTTTCGGTGTGCTGTAGAGGTCTTCGAAGAATTCGGGCTTTGGGGTTTCGGCTTAGCGAGTTTCAGAGTCATCGGATTGAGTGTGTTCAATCGACAATCCCAAAGGGTCCAAGTATTGTTATGGTACATATTTAGACCCCAAAATACCCCATATAGTATATACCATAATGATACTTGGACCCTTTGGGAATTGTCTTCAAGATCATACCTAAACGAGTAGCCCGCCAAATCGCTCACATTTCCTGTATTCTGGGCTCACATTTCCAGGAAGCCATCAACTTGAAAACCTCTCCAAGCCCTACATTACAAACCGCAAGACCCTACCTTTGGCTCAACAACCATATAGAAGCTTTAGTAAGGAGCCCCCAGCGGATAGGATTTTTCAGGCGACAGGCCAACCAAAAGCTCCAAGTGGCTCTAGTGTTCTGAGCCACTGCCGCCCTTCTGCACAGGCCTGAAGACCCGCGTTGTAGCCTTGTTGCTGTCGCTTGGGTTCACTGAAGGGGTCTCCCAAAAAGGTGGTGGTAGTACAAATGTACCATTTTATGCCGGTGATGGTACGTGTATCGGTCTTCTTACCTATATAGCTATCCGTCGACATCTAACTATATCTAAATATCTATATCTATCTGAATTATTTCTATCCGTATTTACCCACGTCTGCTCGTCTCTGGCTATGTCTATAGTTTTCTATTCACCTATCTTTGTATCCACACATACAACACCACCCCGGCTTGTAACAACTACTTATGAACCTTCCACGATGGGTGATTGACTCACGTGGGGTCTGCAATACATCAGTACATCCCGCAAATAGGGATCCCAAGATTAAGGCCCCTCAAGAAACGATGAGTGGTCTGCACTGCTCATACGGGCCATGCTTTATTATTCGTAGGCGCACGTGATGGCTTCTGCTCTTATCAAGATGTGTCAACTTACTGCCATCATTCTTCTGCTTTCACGTATCATGAGTTGAATACATAGAGCAGCCTTGTGACAATCACGAATGCATAGAGAATAGAGAAGATCAAAACCGTGACCTTGGGACCAGCGTAGAGCTCTAATTCCAGAATACCTGATGCACTCAGCCCACAAGAAGTATGCGAGTTTTGAGTTTAAGAAGGGTTTCGGGTTCAGAGTTCAGGGCTGCACTTAGGGCTTCAAGTTCAGAGGAGTTCTGTTGTCTGGAGGCACCACCATCACATTCTGCCTTCCTGTGTCGGTAACCTGAAAAGCCCAGCCTTGCATGGAACTGCAAAGCTCGGAATACTTACGAATAAGTAATCGTATCCCCTTACAATCCCAATTCTAATACCTAGATAAGTACCTACACACCTGCACGTCGAAAAGCAACATATCCTTACCAAAGGTTAAAGCCCTCAGCCGAGCCGCAGAAGATGTTGGGTGCGATGGTAAAGGAGTGTATCGTGTGAAGGAGATGGAGGGCATCCGGCCACGACCTCGGAACTTTAGCTGGTGGAAAATATGGGTAGTTGTTTAAGTTAGGGTCCCTTGGGAGTCCGTTCTGTCAGGGTGCCCTACTGCTTTTGAGACCTGAACAGGGACCCTAATTTGCGAAACTACCCATCTATGCTTCAGGTTAAAGGCCTGAAAGGACTTTGTTTCTGTGTTTGTGTGTGTGCGCCGATGCAGGAAAAGGTCTGCAAGGTTTGGGATGAGTTCTCAACACAGGACATTCCCCCAACAAAAAGAAACCCGAAAGGACCCCCCACCTCCGTTAAGAAGGGGTGGGGTATAAGGTATAAGCCTGTACTAGGTGTGGCTTTTAGAGCCTTTGAAAAATATTAGTAAATAAGATCCTCTTAAGCCCAATAAGGGAAAATATAAAATGTCCCAAAGCCCTACCTAGTGTAGGTACACCGCCAAGCAAGCAGGTCCCCCGACCCAGCACGGCCGCAAGAGACGATGCCGGCGGTGCAGAGACGAGCCGAAAGCACTCCGGTGTGCTCCTGGATTCTAGGTAGTATTATTAGGGAGACCCCTTAAAGGGTACCCCTTCTGAACCCTACTTCTGGCTCTCTTAAACGGGGCCTTATTGAGAGGGTCTATATCCCCAAGGGTCCCCCTAATCCTAACTCCCAGATTCGGGACTTACATGGTTTTAGGTTCCCAGAGACTCCAAGATCCCTTAATTAAGGAATATTCTTTAAATCATATTAGGGTCCTATTATTATTTGAGGTATATGCCGTAATTTAAGGGATGTTGGAGTCTCTGGGTTTAGGATCCTCGGGATTTACAGGATGTCAAGTTCAGAGCAAGGATGATTGTTAGTTGTCGGCCTCTGGCTGACTCTAGCTTTAAAGTATGGGTTTCGATCCTGGCCGTTGCCAAAGCTGCTGAACATGGTTCTGAAAGTCTGAGGGTTTCAGCACTGATTTCTCATACGACTGCCTTTTGTACGTTTTTAACATGAACAGCAACGCCTACCTAAACCCTACACTACCTTGTTAGGTTCCTCATCGTGATTTGTTTGTATATATTCCTAAAATGGTTTTCTTCGGGGTTTTAGAGGCTTGCAACCTTCATCAGTCAGTACTACAACGGTAGCGGATGCCTGAAAACAACAAGAAACACAGATCCGAAAAGAGAGGGAGGGCCGGAAGATGTTGGCACATTATCAAGAAATCATGGGGTCTGTGGGATTGTGGCTTGAAGCAGGGCCTGTAGGTCTTCGAACAGAGTTGTTGACAACTGGGAGTCTCAAGACACACACGACAGCGAAAACTAGACAACCTCGGCCTGTTTGCCAGCGGACGTGAAGAACCCGTCGCCGACTGAATTGGAGTCGTGTCCATACTTTTAATGGTAGGCAGACCGTCCGAAACACATCATCACCTAATCCCCACTCGACATCCCGCATCAAAAGATGCATCTTCTCTCGCATGTTTGTGTTGATGACCTTGTTCGGGCCCCACGCGAGACGGCAATCGGCAGGCAGGCTTCAAGCAAGCAACCCACCGATACGACGGATGATTCAAGAAGCTCATGACACCAATACCACCCAGATAGGCTAAAACCCTAAACCCTAAGCCAGATAGGGGCCAGTCTGAACAATGTCATGAGGCAGTAGATAGGACCTGCTCCGTTCTCCACATCCGCGAGCAAACACATGCTATTGGTTCCTGATACCTAGAGGGTCATACCCTACCCCTTTTTTAGGATACCGAATTTTATGGTTAGGTTCTCTTATATGGAAAAGTAGATACCTTAAAAAAGGGGTAGGGTATGACCCCATAGGAACTGGTTGCACAAAGAAATTACTTGAAGGAAAGAAGCAAGAGCGCGATAAACATGAACAGCAATTGAGACAGGCCCCACACTGGTATGCCCCGAAAGTAAAAACGCTCAAATGCTAGAGTGCCTAAACCCCCGAAACACCGCAAAATTACATCACACCACTCTGAACCCTCTGCAGCAAAGCTATCAAAGCCCTATAATCATTAAACCCAAAACCCTAAGCCCTAAATTCCTGACCCCATGCCCTCATAGCCTGAACCTAAAGCCAAAACACAAAACCCCTAAACCCGAAGCCCCACCTGTATCCCCAAATCCTACAAAATAGTAGGTCATATATAGCTTCTTCATTTTGGGGAACAACCCCTAAAAAATGGGTTTGGGGATCTACAGGTTAGCCCTAAACTGAAGATCTTCCTGCGCCCAGGCTTTCAACACCGGTCTCACGAGGTCCGCTCTCCTGCATTGATTCGGACTTTGGTCCCAATGATCTGAGACTTCGGGCTCATAAAGTTTTAGGGTTTCGGGATTAGGGTTTTAGGGTTCTTAAAGGGCTCCTTAAAGGGATCTATAGGGTTCCTTAAAGGGATCTCTGAGGTTTAGGGTTTAGGGTTCTACTTGGAAGGGCAGGGGACTTAGTAAGTAGGTTATAAGTAGGGTTAGAATTGGGGTAACTCCATTTAGGGTACTTCTAACTCTACTGGGATGGGCTTTGGCAGCCCTGAAAATTATTTATGGATCCGGGCTGTTTTTGTGCATCCATGTGAATGCAACACCAAGCAGCAATCACTCACTCTTTTTCTCCCGCGATCATGTGGAATGTCAGCAGTGGTAACAAGAAAAACGCGACAATCAGCAGCCACTGACACTGGCAGCTCAGACGATGGTGGCCTGCAAGAGCAGGCAGAAACCAAAATCTGTCTTGACACCCTGACAATGGAAGCATTTGACACTCATTCTGTGTGGCAAGTGCAATAACACACCCAATGCGCACCCCTCCATACCTGCTCAAAGTTGACACTGATTTCCAGCTGGTAGGCCTGACATAATGGAAACACGTGACACTCATTCTGTGTGGCCAGTGCAATAACGCACCCAAGACGCACCCCTCCATGCCTGCTCCAAGTTGACACTGATCTCCAAGACGAAGGCCTGCCATAGTGGATGCATTTGACACTCATTCTGTGTGGCCAGTACAATAACGCACCCAATACGCACCCCTGCCTGCCTTGTTACAGTTGACACTGATCTCCAGCTGGTAGGTGTGTCAACTTTGAGCACGCATGGAGGGTGCCTACTGGGTCCCAACACACACCCTCCATGCCTGCTCAAAGTTGACACTGATGTCCAGCTGGTAAGCCTGACATTAAGGAGCAATTGACTCTCATTCTGTGTGGCCAGTACAATAACGCACCCAATACGCAAACCTGCGTGCCTTCTCCAAGTTCACACTGATGTCCAGGAGGAAGACCTGACTTTAATGGATTGACATTCATCGACATCCACTGCACCGTAACTGCTTGTCGACATGGTGACACTTGGCAGAGGAATCATCAACCAAAACAGAGTCATAGCACCAACCAGGCGGCGAGCGGCTCATTCAGACCTTGCATGTTGGAACAGTTTTTCTCCGAAAAACTGTTCCAACAGGCAAGGTCTGAGCGAGCCAGCTGACACTTCATTCCATGACAAAGCAGACGGTAAGCCTGACATCACTTGACACTCGTTCTGTGTGGCCAGTACACTAACGCACCGAACACGCACCCCTCCATCCATGCCTTCTCTAAGTTGACACTGATGCCCAGGAGGAAGACCTGACTTTAGTGAATTGTCGTCGACATGGTGACACTTGGCAGAGGAATCATCAACCAAAGCAGAGTCATAGCACCAGCCATGCGGCGAGCGGCTCAGTCAGACCTTGACCACTCGAGCAGCTGGACGGTCTGTCCAACTGCTCGACGAGTCAAGGTCTGAGCGAGCCAGCTGACACTTCATTCCATGACAAAGCGAATGGTAAGCCTGACATAATGGAAACATGTGACAATCATTCTGTGTGGCCAGTACAATACCGCACCCAATTCGCACCCCTCCATGCCTGCTCAAAGTTGACACTGATTTCCACCTGATAGGCCTGACATAATGGAAGCATGTGACACTCGTCATTCTGTGTGGCCAGTACAATAACGCACCCAATTCGCACCCCTCCATGCCTGCTCCAAGTTGACACTGATTTCCAGCTGGTAGGCCTGACATAATGGAAGCATGTGACACTCATTCTGTGTGGCCAGTACAATAACACACCCAATGCGCACCCCTCCATGCCTGCTCAAAGTTGACACTGATTTCCAGCTGGTAGGCCTGACATAATAGAAACACGTGACACTCATTCTGTGTGGCCAGTACAATAACGCACCCAAGACGCACCCCTCCATGCCTGCTCCAAGTTGACACTGATCTCCAAGACGAAGGCCTGCCATAGTGGATGCATTTGACACTCATTCTGTGTGGCCAGTACAATAACGCACCCAATACGCACCCCTGCCTGCCTTGTCACAGTTGACACTGATCTCCAGCTGGTAGGTGTGTCAACTTTGAGCACGCATGGAGGGGGCCTATTGGGTCCCAACACACACCCTCCATGCCTGCTCAAAGTTGACACTGATGTCCAGCTGGTAAGCCTGACATTAAGGAGCAATTGACCGGCCAGGACAATAACGCACCCAATACGCAAACCTGCCTGCCTTCTCCAAGTTGACACTGATGTCCAGGAGGAGGACCTGACTTTAATGGATTGACACTCATCGACATCCACTGCACCGTAACTGCTTGTCGACATGGTGACACTTGGCAGAGGAATCATCAACCAAAACAGAGTAGCACCAGCCAGGCGGCGAGCGGCTCATTCAGACCTTGACCACTCGAGCAGCTGGACGGTCTGTCAAACTGCTCGAGGAGTCAAGGTCTGAGAGAGCCAGCTGACACTTCATTCCAT